CTTCTGACCCTAGAAACTATGAAACTATGAAACTATGAAATGGCCAGATGCCCTGTGGGCAGCCAGGCTCCTCAGAAAGACCATTATTCAATTGCTCTACAGGAGTACGATGAGTCCCTCCAGCTGCAGGGCCCTTGTGAAGCTATGGTCAAAGGGAAGAAGATGCCCCATTGTCAAGTCTCTCCTGCAGGATCCAGCTTGTACTTATGGCCAGAGACATACTCTTGCTGCTGTTCTTGTGTTTATTATCAGGAGCAGCTGGAACTATTTGGCGTCCAGCTAGGTTAATGTGGGTGCCTGTTCCTGTTGGCCACCCCAAACCAACTGTCAGTTCCCCAGATCTACTTTATAAGACATGATAGTCACAATTAATTGAGGATTAGCTGCATGTCCTGTAGGGCTTAGCAGGCCTCCGGCCTGTCTCAGCTCATCTGTCTCAGGCTTTGCAGATTCACTTCCCCAAGTCATAGATGCTGGTCTCCTCAGGCCTCCACAGTCAGCCATAAAAGACTCCCCTCCTATTGTCAGCAAACCCCTGGTAGGAAGCAGGGAGATAGCTCAGTCTCAGTTACACCTGCCCTTTGAAAAGACTCCCTGGCCTGCTGGTTTGCATTCCCTTTGAAGCAGCTCCTGGGCTCAGGGAGTTGTAACTGTGTACATGCAGAGCCCATGAGCACTGTCCTTAGCAGTGGGAAGAGGAACGGTGAGGGGATGTGTTGTTTACACCTCATGGATTCTGTCACAGGGAGTTAACAAGAGCACAGTGCTACGTGGCCTCACAGTCAGGTAGTGGCTAAGCCTTTGTCAGGGAAATGGGGCTGGCAGGGTTGAGAGCAAGAAGAAGGTAATTAGAGATATCCAAGTGCTGAGAGCAGGTGCCAGGTTGGATCATGAGTCTGCGTTTAAAGGGCTGTGGATACACGCTGCATCTGTATCATTGGGAAGACCACAGGACAGGGAGCGCTGCATGGCTCGGCAGCTCAGTGGGCCATCCTCAGTCACAGGGAGCTGAGGGCCTTGGGTGGTGTTGGAGCGCCCATCTGTGCAGAGCAGCACGCTGGAGTCTGCCTCGCACTTGGTGGTGCGGCTGTAGTAGGGCTCCATCACATGTCGGAGCTCCAGGGGCATGTTGAGGGGCAGCACCTCAGCTTTGATAACGGCACCCAGATGAGCCTCAGTAGACGATGCCTGGAGGTTCTCTGACCGGCTCATCTTGATCAGCAGATCAATGGTTTTGTTCTCAGCCTCCAGAAGGCAACTTGGCATCCCGTCCCCATCTCCGGGTTCTCCAGCTGCTACGCACTTGTTGATAGCACCTTGGTCTTTGCTCTGGAGCTTTTCACCTCCTAGTCTAACATTATAGGCATCTTTCTTGGCCTGGTGGCCCTTCTCAGGCCCTTCTGAGGATCTTTTCACTGAGAGGTCCAAGGGGCCTTCATGGGGCTTGGTGGCTTTCTCTAGTGCCTGGTGGATGTGGTAGAGTTCCCTTCGGATTTTGACTAGCTGCTCTCTCAGGTGCTTTTGTCCAGGGGTGTCCTCTTTTGCCAGGTCAGAGAGTTTCTTCTCCACCTCCTGGTACTCCTCAAGGGTTTTTGACAGATCCCCAATGAGCAGGGTGGTAGCCTCAGGGTCTGTTGTGCTGGCTGAAGTCTCTTGCACTTTGCTTTGCTTACACGGGGTGTGATCCAAGGGGGTGATTGCTGGGGACACAAGTTCTGGGCCACTGGTTTTCTCCTGCTCTTCAGCTGGACGAGTGTGGAACTCCATATGCCAGCGGTCCAGGGACTTTGGGAGCTGGGCAGGGGTCATTCTCAAAGTGCTGGAAAGAGATAAAAATGAGACAAAATGGAAATGCCAGTAATGATTAGTTGGGGGACGGCACGTAAGCACTCAGAAATCTGCTATTGGATAACTCAGCCTGGGGCATGTCACTAATTCTGGATGTCATAATTGAGGCCCCTGGGGACCCCCTGCCTGTAAATGGGAAAGCAGGTGCTGTGCTTTGTATTGAACTAGTGCTGTCTGCATGTCTTGAGCATTACAGTCACTCAGCATGCCTCAACACCAGGGGTCCTCCCGGTTTTCCCTAATAAAAATCACAAGTTCTCTGATAAAAATCCTCAAAACCATTATTAAAATGAAAGCCCCTGGCCCCAGCGCTACTGGTGCCCCTCACTCCCTCCCATAGCCCCTTTGCCCTGATCATGCCCCTCACTCCCTGCACAGCCCATGGCCCTGTCTGTGCCCCTCATTCCTCCCCTACAGCCCCCCCCAATCCGGCTGGTGCCCCTTGCCTCCCTCCCACAGCTCCTGCTCCCCCCAGCCCTGCCAGAGAGGGACCCCAGCTGCCAGGGCTGAGGGGTCAGACACCTGGGTCCACAGCCCCCTGCCCCTGGCAGGAGGTGGCGGCTACTGCAGAAGAGCGGAGCCCAGCTACCACCGGCTCTGGCAGGGGTTGGCTCTCCACCGCTGCACACACTCCCAAAAGGGGAGAGGCAGAGAGTAGTGCAGGGTTGTGCCTTTTATTGTTGCTGTGTGTGCAGCGCAAGCCCATGGCTGCAGAGTTGCCAGGGAAGCGTGGAGTTCACAGTGGCAAGCAGCTTTCTTGTATGGCCCTACTCTACCCTGCAGTGCCAGATTGCACCCGCTAGGTTGTGGAGGCCCTAGGGAAGGGCAGAAGGGCAAGACCCCAAGCAGGCAGCCCACCCCACACACAGATCTTGGGAGCACAGGCTCCCCCCCGGGTCCCCTCCCTGGGACCATGCGCAGTGGGGGAAGCTGGCCTCATCTCCCCACCCACCGGACAAGCTGCCCACAGCCCCTCCCTCTCCCTGCTAGAGCCCTGCAGCCACACATTGTGGCCATTGGCCCCAAGCCACATGCACCACCTGGCTAGGCAGCATCCCCAGCCCTGGCCAACTCTGAGACCATGTGTATGTACATGCATAGGCCGCAGAAGGGAGGGGGGGCTAGTGGGGCCCAGACCCCCCAAATGCCAGGGCAGCCCAGCCGCAGGTTGCTGCAGCAGGGGGAGGGACATGCCGGGATCAGAGCCAGCCCAGCACAGCACACCAATAAGTTTCTTTTGAATGCTTGGGCTTGGGGGAGTTGGACAAAAACCCCCACAGTGCAGGAGGGAGCGGAGTAGGGGCAGGGACAAATCATTCTCCCCTGCCTCTGCCCTGCTCCTTGCTGCACTGTGGGAATTGCACCATGACCTGGCCTGGCCGGGGCCCCATTCACAGCGAATGGGGCCCTGGCTGGGCAGGATTGTGGGGCAATGGGAGCCCAGAGGCTCATCCAGGGGCGTGGGTGGGTGGCTCCTGCTGCTGTGCACACTGCGGGGGAGCCAGGGAAGGGGGGCACATCCCACTCCCTCCAGCTCTCCCATGCCATGCCATGCCCCTGGACGAGCCACTGGGCTCTGACTGCCTTATGACCTGGCCCAGATGGGGCCCCGTTCATGGTTAACAGGGTCCCCGCCAGGTCATGGGACAACTGGAGACTGTGGTTCTTCCAGAGCCGTGGCACAGGGTAGCCGGGGGGGGCATGGCCCCCAAACTTTCCACAGGGCAAGAGTGGGCTGCAGCTGCCCTCTGCCTGCTCCCCACCTCTGTGTGGAGACACAGAGCAGGCGGAGAGCAGGCAGAGCACAACTGTAGCCCACCCTTGCCCCATGCAAAGATTGGCTCCCTGGCACCACAGCTCTGGAGGAGCCACCAGACTTTTTCTGGGCTGGGGTGGGTGTGGGTATTCCCACTCCCCCAGCAGGCTCTGCCTGCCTGCAGGGAGCTTGTTCCAAAACTGCAAAATCCAGAGGTTCCTTTGCTAAAATGAGAAATCCACGATTTCCTCTGGTAAAGGGGAAATACGTATTTTACTCCGTTTTGCCATGGGAAATGGAAAACCTGGATCCTTGCTCAACACCATGGGTTGGTGCCCAGGAGTGCTGCTGTAGAGCTCATCTCACCTGCTTTCTCCTGCTTCACATGCACCAGCTCCCAAGCTGAAACAACATAGCCACTTAAAAAGCCACCCTGAGCACATGCCTAGCACCACTCTCAGGCTCACTCTCAGGCATGCTTATTGGGGTGTGATCAGGACTACTCTAAGGTAGACAATTGCTTCACTTCTGGTATTTGGCAGGTGTAGAATTGGAACAATTGGTAGGGGTGTGTCTCCTGGCAGCGCTCCCAGGGGTGGTACACAGGTGCTGTAGATATGTCTTGAGACACCAACCCTCTGGGTCTCCAGTGAGTGGAGTCATCTCAAGTGAAGCACTGAGTCAGATGCTTCAGGTCTGAGGAGAGGCAGGAGCTCAGTCAGACCCCTGTGACTCACCTTTTCCACTGGATTGTTTTAGATGGCTCCCTGCTCAGCACCATGACACACTAAATTGCCTTTTGGAGGTGCCTTTTTCTCCCCCATGGTTGTATAGAGATCCTAGGCCCTTAAACCTGACTTCTGTGACTAGGAGTTTGGTTTTCAGTGTGGTGAAGCCTACATGGAAGCAACTATAAGAATGATCTGGATCTGGCCCTAACTGAGTTGCTCAAGGCCTAACCCAGGGGTGGGCAATTATTTCGGGTGGAGGGCTGCTTACTGAGTTTTGGCAAGCCATCGAGGGCCACATGACAGGCAGCCAGGGGCAAATAAATATTAATTTTCTAAATTTTTTAGGGCCCCTGCGGGCTGGATAGAATGGCCTGGTGGGCCGCATCTGGCCTGTGGGCTGCATTTTGCCCACCCCTGGCCTAACTCTTTGGCAAAATCACCCTTTGAATGTTTGACAGGGTTAGAATGTGTTCATCAGCTAACTGTTGGCCTGTTTCTAATAGACCAATTCATAATCTCGTTGCCGACTACATGGCCTTGACAGTGTAGCAAAGACCCTTGTGAGACTATTTTAATGAGGAAAAGAAATAGCTGTAGGCAGGTATTTGGCACTTCTCCAGAGAGGGCTTTCCATACTGCTAAAGATTATGATTTTATCAGTGAGTTTCACAATATTTTATGGGGCTTTTTTTCTTAAAGCCTCAGCTTGTGGAGTCTTGGGATTGGGTGAGGAATTCAGCTTTCAGTAAAAAGAAATAAATTCTAGCCCTGGACTCAGAAACCAGAAGGCAAATTATGATTAAAAAAATCCTATGATTTTAATCCAATATCATTTTGGGAGCCTACCTCACGATTTTGGAATGCTTCAGGTTAGCATTACCGTACAGTAAAAACATTGAGTAGTCTTTAGCTCTTTTCTCCAGATGGGAAACCAAGGCCCAGGGAGGTAAAGTGACTGGCCAAAAGCTAAAAGTTAAGGGCTTGGTTTTCCAAAATACACCCATCATGTGAGCTTCTAGTGCCCAGTAAGCCCTAGCTCCAGGTCACTGGCAAAGCTGTGAGTTCTTAATGCTTACGTGTATACTCAAGCAACTATATTGATTCTCTTCCTCACAAGAGTCCTAGTCCTTGCTTATAGTAAATACTGGCTAGAGGTCAAATTCCAGGCTCAAGTTTTGACTCAGAATGCACTCAGGCAAAGTCCCATTAAAGTTAATAAGAGCTGTTAGCTTTGGCAGAGCTTTGTCTGTTAGCTTTGTTTTTAACTTTTGTTAGCGTTGGCTGTTAGCTTTCATCTCGGGCTGCTAATTTCTTAATGGCAGCTGTAAACCTTGGGCTTTCACTAGGATTAACGGACTTTTAAGAATAGGAACAAAGCTTCAGTGCCGCAAGGAAACACTGAGAAGCAGGTGGGTGTAATAAAGACCAGGACAGCAGTATGAACCCAGCAAATACCCTCTTTGATTGTTAATAGAGTGTCTATGGAAATAGCACCTGTCTGCAGAGATACCATATAAATTTCCTACCTGGATTGATAGCCTAGTTTTCCAGGAATCAGAGGGTCAGGTGGCATAAAATCAAGCCCACTCCCAATGAACTTCCTCTTCAGAGAGCTGACTGGAGCACCAGCATTCTCCAGGCAAGTGACCACTGGTAACTCTGCCTTCCTGCTGCCGTTGGGGAGAAAGACACCATCCTTTATCCCCACAAGATTCTGGTAGACATCGGGTGCTGGCTTTTTGCGCAAGCTGTTGATGCCCAAAGCTGGATTGCTTTCTTTTTCTTGGGGCAACCATTTCTCCTCTTCTTCCTCTCGGATGCCTTTCACCCAAGGAAAATTGGTCTTCAGCACTGGCACCTTCAGCAGTCCTGCTTTCTGGGGTTCACTGGCAGTTTGGGGTTGGGGAGGAGCTGGCATAGCTGACCCTGCTGGCTGCTGGGCCTCTGCTTTGCCTGCAGCTGTCTTGCTTTCAGTGGAGCCAAAGGTATGTTCAAAGAGCAAGGGGTAGTAGAACCGGGGCAGGAAGGCTGATCTCTCAGGGTGCTGGAGGGGCTGGAAGTGAGTGGAATGTGGGTGCATCAGCTGAGCAGTGGAGGCTAGGAAGGGCAGCTGAGTGAGGTGGGGGTGGGCTGTGGCACTGTTGGTCATGGTGGGACCTAGATAGGAAAAGAGGCTGGGGTTCAGTGGGTAGTTAATGCCCAGCAGTGAGAGGTTCAGGCCATGAGGTTCATGGTAATCACCATAGGCTGGAGGGGGATAGCAGGGGATGATGTTACCTTCAGTACAAGGTGGGGAGACATCATTGGTACCTCTTCTTTGCCCATTAGCAACCAGCTTCCACTGCTCCATGAGAATCCCACTGCTCCCCAGGCATTTCTTTGGCACCTTGCAATGCTTTGGTTTGGCTTCTAAGTCTGGATAAGGAGTTTCCTTGCCCTTCATCATGTGGTTCTTCAGTGAGAAGACATCTGTGATGATGAAATCAGGCTCAACCTCTTTGCAAGGCTTGTCCCTCTTGTTCTTGAATCCAAAAACCAGGGTGTTCACCTCTGGTTCAGAAGGATCACCTGTCTCCTCCTTTGCTTTCTCCTTCTTCTCAGCTGAATCCATCTCCCTCAGCAGCCCAGTCATGTCTTCCTCCTCCTCTTGGAAATGGCTGGCTTCTTCATTGTTCTCTTCTGAGGGCAGGACTTCAGCTTCTGGTGCTGGCTGGTCACCCTCACCATCTCCATCTGCAGCTTGCTTCGGATTAGCCATCACTCCCGCTGCAGCTGAAGAGTCGCAGGCCTCTTGCTCATCCCTCCTCCCATGGAGCCGAGATGTCTCTGTGGCCTGCAGGAGGCGAAGCTCGGGGTGCAGCAAGTTTCCTTTTTTGTAGGGCCAGTCAGACTCGATAAGCAGTGAGAGTGAGTTCTTACACAGACTGTACTTCATGTGGTTATAGAGATGGGACTTCTCCATGCAGGTGAAAGGGCACTGGAAGCACTTGTAGTTGTAGGGCTTTCCCCATGGCCTTGGGATGTAATGCGGTTTTTTAGGCTTACGTTCCTTGTGCTTGTAGACTGAAGTCAACTTGCAGCTCACTTCATCCTTTGACATGACTGCTGGGATGGCTGTTCCTCCAACACGTTTTTTGTAGGACACAACAGAATTGTTTGCAGATGCTAATGGTCCCACACCTCGCCTGGAATTGTTGTAGCCCCTGAAACAAGACAACACAGCAAAAGTCAGATCCTGACTACACCTTCAGCCTTCTTCAGAAGAGAGGTTCTGCTCTAGAGAGCTTAGGGTTCTCTAAGCTCTGTGTGTGCCAGGTCATTCCCATTTGCTGTCAACAAGCTGAACTGCAGCAGAAAATACTTTGTGCTAAACTCTGGTGTGGGTGTAGGCAGGAGATTATATCACCAAGGTCACCATGTAAAAATGCAAACATATCCCTGATCTCCATTAGTAAAGGCTGCATTGGGCTGGGGTATAAGTTTGACTTGAATGAAATACAAAATGAATGCCAACTCTTGAGCTAAGCATAGATCATTGACACTTTGCATGAATTCAAGGCACAGCGTGCTAAGTCATAGAATGGTAATACATACTATATGCATGCCTGAAAGTAATACACACTCACATGCAAGTCAGCAGTTAGAAGGGCAGCTATCCAACTGGCAGGCACTGGGACAGTTTTGTAGATATAAATGTACAGATCATTTTAGGAAATATTAGCCTTTTAGATTAATTTTCTGGTTTGAATTTCAATCTTACTGAAGCCCACTGGGAATATACACAGGAGAACACAGCTCCCTAGAGTCCTTGATTACAAAGTTATTTTTGTGCAGGCCAAAACTTTAAAACTTTCAAGTGACTCTGCCTTTGTACCTTACAGACATGGGTTTCTCCGCTAAGACTGGCAGTGATGAGGCCAAGCAGAGCCAGCTATAGACTTCTGACATTAATGCTGTAAGGTGTTAAGTAGGTAGAGATCCATTGGGTGAGAGCAGGAGTAAAGACACCAACTTATTTCACAGGGGCTATTGGACTATGATGAACAATAGCAGCTTACACTCCCTCCTGACCTAGCTTGGAGGCAAATTTACAAACCTGGCCTAAATTTGAAAGAAAGACTAGCTGACTGAAAGGGGCTTGCTGAGCACCTACCCTTTGAAGAACAGGCCTTTGGTGGGGTTTCAAAAAAATGAATTCCTAAATCCCTGGTCACCGATTAATATGTAGGCATTGGAGGCAGAAGATTCTGCATGTCTTATTGCAGGCCCTAAGCCACCAAGCACCAGCCTCTACCCCGTCCCTTTTGGAGGTCCCAGGCAGCATTTTTTGTTTCCATTGATAGATAGGAAAACCCTTGAAGTGGCTGTGGGGAAAATCACTTTTTCTGCAGCATCAAGACACAGGAAACAAGGACTCATTTAAAAATGGATCTAGTTAATTTTTGAGGACCTGATCCTCTCCTTGGCTTCAAACAAGAGGCTCCCACTGAAGTGAACAGGACCTGCCCATGTATATCGGAGGGCAGATTTGACCACAAGGTTGTGTGGAGAGAGGCAGAACCCTCCCAGCAGGAGCAGCTGCATTTCTAGCGGCAACCACAGCCCTTGGGATCCAACAGGCTCTCAGAGTCTGTTTGGCATTAACTTAGAGAAGCCTTCATGCAGGCTGCCACGGTGTCAGCTCTGCAAATGGGAGTGAACAGCCCCGGGAGGGAGGCCAGGGATCTTGGAAGCAGCATCTCCAGGTTGCTGTTCTCTCTGCCGCAGACGTGGGCAGCCGGAGCCATTAGGAGAAGCAATCTGCTTGGCTCCTGTTGGCTGCAGCTTCAGGTGCCCTCCAGGGGGAATGGGAAAAGATTTTGCGAGAGGAGAAAGAAAAACCCTTCAAACAAAGTAGCACTTGTATTTTCTGCCTTACCAACACTCTCCACTCCTGATAGGACACACACTTTGCCCTGCACAGGACAAACTGTCATATCTGGGCCTGCTTCTAATAAAGATCTGCTGAGCAGTACCAGAAAGCTGAGGGGCCTTAAAGGGACTTGTTTTTCAGTGAGTTCTCAGCACCCTCCCTCTGAAAATCAGGCCCTTTTATGTGTTATCTTGGGGGAGCTGTACCTCATAGTAACACCACTTCCAGTGTGTTTTCTGGGTTCCTTCTTCATGTTTTCAAGTGTTGAGGATAAATCAAGCTAAACCTTTCAGAATCCTAATAATGGCTATTTAGCAATAATGGTTTTCACTACCATAACACCTGTGACCTTTCAGTACATGTGGGTGATCTAATTCCCATTTTACTGCTGAGGAAACAGAGGGGTAGAGTGGTCCCAAAGCACTTCACAGAGGAAGGGAGGTACCCTTGTTCCTGTGATGTAGATGGGGAAGCTGAGGCACAGAGAGGCTCCAGTTCATGCAGTGGGAGAGGAATCAAGAACAGAGTGACAACCTGCTGAGTGTTTGATCGGGGCTCTGTGACATGGTAGCAGGGGACTGTACTCAGTGTCCCAGGAGGCCCCTTCCCAGCCATATTCCTAATCCACCAAGGTGGTTCATTCCTCTGCTCTGTCTGTTTTACATTTCTAGCCTGTGTCTTCAGGACTGTGTCTCTGGAGACATAGCATGGATTCTGCCCCATCTTTTCTACTGACTCACTCTAACTATAGGTCATACTGTCTCCAGGTGTAGTGAGTGTCTTTAAGTGCAGACAGAAGTGACAGTTTTTGCCCAATATGGCCCCTGAAAGCACCCTAGAGATGTGACCTAACACAAGTGCATGGCTGCAGAGCATTTTAAAAGGGCCCAATCCCATGACAATCTGAACCGTCATGTAATGAGGGTTCAGATGAAGGCACTCCAAAGTGGAGTGCCTTCATTATCTTGTATCTACATGCACTGGGAGGAGGGTTGGACTGATGCAGGCCAACCCTGCTCCCAGGGCTGTTTTCAGAATGGGAGGGGGGAAACCGTTAGCTGTTGGGCCAGGAGGGTGGGGGATTGAGCTCCAGTTTGGAGCTGATCCAGGGAGAAAGGCTGCAAGTCTGCACATAGGTGGAAGGGGAAAAAATTATTTGGGGGGCTGAGTGCATGCCTGCACATGCACCCCCACTCCCCAGCAGGTAAGTCTGTGGGGGAAGGGGAAGGGGAAGGGGAAAGGGCCATGGGGCGGGGTGGGGGGATGCAAATTGAGACCCCAGCAGTGAGGGAGGGAGCAGGGCACAGGCAAGAGCAGGGGCTAGGGTGAGTGGGGCCCTGGCCAGGCTGGGTGGTGGGACAAGCAGAGGCCTGAGGGGCACATGCCCCACCAATCTGTGCGTGGGGTGGAGGCAGCTGCAGCTGTGCATTGGGCTTTGAGCCCCGCTGCCCCGAGAGCCATGGGATACCAAGTGCATCCTGCCACCGGGTGGGCAGGGGGCGCAGCACAGCCCAGTGGCAGCAGGGTTGTGGCATCAGCCACTCCAAGGCAGCTGCAACAGGAAGCAAAGCACAGAGTGTGTGTGGGGGGGTACATGTCCCCTGGGCCTCCACTTGTCCCACCACCTGGCCCAGTTGGGGCACCACGCACCACAACACCTGCTCCTGCCTGTGTCCTGTTCCCTCCCTCACTGCTGGGGCCTCTTTCTGCTCCCCCCCACCATGGCAGGGGGGCAGACCTGATGATCTGTTTAGATCCCTTCTGACCCTAAGCACTATGATGATACTATGGTGGCAGTGAGAGAGGGAATGGGGCTGGGGCAGGCCCTGCACAGCTGGGGCAGGGCGGAGGACGAAGCCATGGGTGGCTTGTTCGGGGGGGGCCCAGCACAGGAAGGGGGTGGCAGCTCCTACCACTGCACACACCCCAGGAGGGCATGGGGGGCATGTGCCCTGGTTCTGTGTGTGGGGTGAGGACGGGCTGCCAGTGGTGGGATGTATATGGCGTCAGACTTGCACAGCTCTTGAAGCAGTGGCAGTGAGGCACAGAGGCAGAACAGAGCCCAGCCCATAGCAGCAGTCTACCCTTGCCCTGTGCACAGATCGGGGGAGGTCATGTACCCCCCCCATTTGCCCCACAGTGAGTGCAGTGGTGGGAGCCCCCCCCTGCACCCTTGGATGCACCATGGGGCTCCAATTGTCCCACTGTAACCTGGCCCAACCAGGGCCCCATTCACCCCTGCCCCACTCCTTTTCTCATTGTGGGGGTCTTAATCTGCCCCCCAACAAGCACCTTCCCCTTCACAAAGAAAGCAAACTGAAACTTACCTGCCTTGCTGGGTAGTCACACACTGGGACTGTGATCCTGGCTGCATAGGTATCTTGAGTATGCATGCCTCTCCCTTCCCCTTCCCCTCCCCCCAACTACTGCTGCAGCCTGTGGCTGGGCTGCCCTGCGGCCATACCTGCTGCCCTGCATTTGGGGGAGCTGAGCCCTAGTAGCCCCCACCTGCTTCTGCTGCCTGTGTCTCTACAGCCTCTTCCCCTAGCTCTGCCCCGCCTCCCCTCTCCCGACCCCTGGTGCTGTCTCAGGATGGAAGGGGAGAAGACAGGGGAGGAAGATCTGTTCTGGGGTTTCCCCAGCCATGCTAGGGAGGGGGGCACGGATTGGAACCCCTGCACCTTGGGGCTTGCAATCCACCTGAATGACCAATCCACCCCCAGAATGACCTCCCTCTTGCCCCATTCCCTCCTCCCATTCTGAAAACAGTGCCGGGAACAGAGTTGGCCTGCATCAGTCCAGCTCTGCTCCCAATGCATGCAAATACAAGATAATGAAGGCACTGAACCCATTACATGAGGGTTCAGATTGTCACAGGACTGGGCTCTTTAAAGCACTTTGCAGCCATGCACTTGTGTTAGGTCATGGCTCTTGGGTGCTTTCAGGGGCCAGATTGGGCAAAAACTGTCACTTCTGTCTGCGCCTAAAGACACTACACCTGGAGACAGTATGACCTATTGTTAGAGTGAGTCAGTAGAAAAGATAGGGCAGATTTCATGCTATCTCTCCAGAGACACAGTCCTGAAGACACAGGTTGGAAATGTAAATGGCTGTTGGGTTGGGAGAATCGGTTTAACTCATGGTGCTTTCTGTAAAGTGCCATGACTTAGGCCAGGGATCTGCACTTCTATCTGCACCTTTTGTTTCATAAGTTATTCACTTTTTGCTGCCTGCTTGTGACCTAAAGTCAACTTACTCCCCTTGGGACATGACAGCCATTTTCACAGGGAACCAGACATGGCAGCTCTGAGGATCACAGCTTCAGATAGAAAACAAGCAGATGGACTTTGAGCAAAGTAAGCCCCTGAT